AACCCCTGACATTGATTCTGTGATTCTGTGAGAGAGGCAGGGGATGGGGTCTGAAGGGAAGTACAACAGGTGGGGTGGAAGAGTCAACACTGGAAATGGTGAGAAACCGGCAATAAGGAAAAAAAAAACAAACCAAATTTCCTGTGCTAGCTGTCAGAGCTCTCTGAGGGTTATCAGTTATCTTTCCGAGATAACTGAGGGTAAACGAGGATCTGTTACACACACAGCCTGGGGGGGTGTCACACAAATCTCAGTGTGTCCCAGCTGTGTGGCACCACAGCAGGCAGGCTCTGCTGTGTTGGTGGCATCCAGCTGCAGTCAGGGAGCAAGCAAGGAATAAAGCTTATTTCAAGAAGGTCGCACTGCTGACACCACTGTTGCTAGTTTCCAGTGGGGTGGGTCAGGTTTCTTTCAGGACAATCATCTGCACCTTTTGCACATTCCCCCTGCTCAGCTTTCAAGCTGACAGAGCTTCTCAAGTAACTCTGCAGGCTGAGGTCTTAAAAAAGGGATTTAAGGTGAAGTAAATGCTGTAGGGAGACCCTTTATGTAGGCTACCCTTATATAGGAGAATAGAGAAGGAAAGGCAAAGGCACGCTTAGACATGATTTCGCTTGCTTGCTTAGTAACATCTCAGTGTCTTCTTTCTGTGTAAATGCTTCTCTATTCAAAGAAATGATTACCTGGCTTGATACCACGCTTGCTTCTCTCAGTGCTTGCTGGTTCGTAGTTTGCGAAGATGCAATTTGCCCTTGAAGTTGAGGACTGGGGACAAGCTGCTGCTGAGAAATGGCCCCTGACCTCTGCTGTAGCTGTTGAGGCTCTGGCTGCTGAGTATTGCTAAAGCTCAGGGACACCATCGGCTGCTGTAGGAACATCTGGATGAGAAGAGGAGAGGGTTTATTTGCATAGTCCAGCTGTCTTGGATAACAAGGGTGACAGAATTAAATCCAAAGGTATATTCTAAAATCATAGAAACATAGAATCACAGAATGCTCTGGGTTGGATGGGCCTTAAAGATCACCTAGTTCCAACCCCCTGCCATGGGCAGGGACGCCTCCCACCAGACCAGGTTGCTCCAAGCCCCATCCAACTTGACCTTGGGCACTTCAGGAAGGCGGCTTCTGCAGCTTCTCTGGGCAACCTGGTCCGTTGTCTCCCCACCCTCACAGCAAAGAATTTCTTATTCATATCTAATATAAAGCTAGCCTCTTTCAGTTTGAAACTGTTACCCCTTGACCTATCACTGCACTCCCTGAGAAAGAGACCCGCTTCATCTTTCTTCTAGACCCCCTTTAAGTACTGGAAGGCTGCTATAAGGTCTCCTGCAGGCTGAACAACCCCAATTCACTCAGCGTATCCTTAAAGTGGAGGTGCTGCAACACCCTCATCATCATCATGGCCCTTGTGAGAACCTACTGGGTTTCTGGATTCACTGTGCATTTACTGTTAGTTGGAAATCACCTGTCTTTCCTACACTAACAGCTCTACTTGCTCTAGTTTCTTGATTTCTGCTTCTGCAAGTGCACTCTACTTGCGAATGTGTCCCGAAGCTACAAGTCTTCTCTCCGTGGGGCAGGCACAGCCCTCGCAAAGGGCAGATCCCTGTATATTCACTGTGTTCTGAGGCATCCTGTCCAGAAAGAAGAGAGTAACTCCATGTCTCTTCAGTCCTTTCATTTCTCTTGTCAACAGAATTAGCTTGCCTTTCAGACAGGTCTGCTTTTGAATTTGTCTCTGGAAATTCAACACCTTACATGCAGTCAGGCTGTCGAATGCTTTTAATGAGGCCACAGTCAGGCCAGAGCTCTCCGTGTTGAATGACCATGTCCTTATCATTGAGATGTGTAAACAGACAGTCACTGTCATTTATCTGATTTCCCATCAGGTAACTGTCATCTGGTGCTCTTCCAAACCGTGCAATACATTTGACTTGTGCAAAAGTGCTAGCAGTTCCTCTGTTAGTATTTTTGTAAATGATGTACTCTCCATTCTTGCCTTGCAAGATGAAGCGTTCATCTTTAACAGTTGTAGGGCTTGGGAGTTTTTGCTTTTCTAAGGGCTATTTCTTTTACTATATTATACAGAGGAAAAAGGCAACTTTTAAAACTATGAATTATTAATGCTCGAAGCTATCTTTGCAATATTTCAAACCTACCCTTTGCCACCAAGGACTGTACAGAGATACACATTGCATATAGTCGAAGGCATTTTTGGATCTGATCCTGCGCACCACTGCACCGCACCACCGCTGCAAGTGTGGAACTCCATTAAAGTGGAACTTCTTAGGTTTTAAATGAAATCAGACTCACAATTACGCACTTCATTATTCATCTATCTGTCTCATGCCTAGCAGTACGTCTGATGTACACCCAGTAATTAGTACACCTTCCGGCAGCTTATTGCTATATTAACAAATCCCTAAACTATCATGTCCCCTCTAATTTTTCTTGGGAAAAAAACATGCCTTTCTCCAAAGGACCAGCACAATGGATTGCTTTTCTTTGCGTGAGTATGGGTTGATCCATTGTGTTTGTAGCTCTTTATCTAGCTATTTATGTAGCTATTTATCTAGCTATCACAGTCTGTATTTAAATATGATAATTTTTTAATGAGTTTCTGTGTGTCAAGTTTTTACTCAGAAAAAAAGGTACAGTCGAATCTTACATTAGTTGGCTGGGAGAGGGGGGCTATTAATGAAGATGTTAGTGGACCTAAAGCGATGGTTTCAGGTGCTATAGGCTAGCCACGTATCAAAGATGTCTGGTAGAAATAAATGGGTCAAGTAACAGAGTTGGGGCTGCTCGCAGCAGGTCTGAAACTAGCTCCGAGTGTTTTCTTTTAAAAACACTGCTCACTGAGTCTGGAGCCATTACGTATCAGAAAGACAGATGGTCTCACAATTTCTGCCAAGTAAATAGGTCTTATTGTGAATAAATCACAGACAGGAATTATGAAAATTCATTTTTTTGTTTATTTTCTGTATATAGAAGCTAAATCTTGGGCATGTTTGGTAAATGAACTCAATTAGCTCTAGCAATGAAATCGGTCGCCACTGATACAAAATTTGATATAAAACATTTGGTATAAAATTCAGAGCAGGTAAAGCAAGTGATATGTTTCAAAAATGTGTTGGCGAGTGTGAGTCCACTGGCACTGGCCAGACCACTGCAAAATAAGACCTTTAGGAAGATCATCTTAAGTGTTCTCCCTATACGTGGCCCTCACAGTGCTGGAGAAATACTAAAATCACCCAATGCAAAGCCAACATGTATCAATGTTAATGTCAGACAGGGTGTGAACTTGCAGTGAATGACGTGCTCTGCAGGGGACCTGCCTGCGTGCATGCCTTACTTCCAAATGAAGGCCAAGGAGCTTATGCTTGAAAGAAAGCTGAGTAACCTACTTTGCCATCACCGGAGTGTGCCACTGGGTAGGAACGTGCATGGTTAATGGTTGGCAGCCAACACGCTCCAAATTTACAACCAAGTTTATCCCAATAAACCAATATTGTATGCTCACGTGTACATACCCCGAGAGGGCTCTGAGTGTTTCATACCTCGGGACCCTCTGTCGCCTTATAACGGCCAAAGCAGCCTTATTAGCATCTGAACATAAATGTCCTGGAAAAAAACAAGCTTAGGGCGGGAAGCGATGATGCCGTTTAACCCAAGTCCCTGCAAAACTGGAAGACTCAAGATGCCCCACCAGCACAAGAGTTAACATGGGAGAGGATCAAAATGTGGAGTTTCTATCTGCTAGTTAAGCCTAAAAGCAAGAATGTGCTTAATTTATACAAATCTTAACAGTGTTTTTTCATAAGGTGCCTCCTTTGTGACAGTCTTGTTTGAATTCCCCTGAAACACCGAAATACGTCAGCTTTAAATAACAACAGAAACCCCCTAATAAAGAATGAAATCTTTCCTAGTCTGAGCAAATCCAAGCAGATAAATTAGCAGCCCCCTAAGTCCATTGCTGCTAATGGCATGCCTCATGGCTGATTTTGCAGACTGCAAGGTCAGCGAAGCATCTTACAAATATTTTTTAATTGGCCAGCTTGTTAACATACGCAGCAAAGCAGCGAGAGAGAGGAGGGACCCTCTGACACTGCTGCTCTCTCATTCCAAGAGAGACGTTCCCTGCAGCTAATGGATGGATCACACTGGTAAGACATCGTGAGGAAAACGGCTCTTTGACTCTACCTGTCCTTTGGATCATCAGGGGATTGTAGCCTTCGGGCTCATCATTACAGACATCAAGACTCTTTCTTTATGTAAAATACAGGAAGATGAGAAACACGGCACTGTGGAGCTGAGATTCACTGACTTTGAAGGGAGCCTGGTTTGCAGATGATGGGTGGCTGTGGATGGTCTCATTTGCAGTTCTTGCAGGCTGATCAGGCTCAGCCCTTCTGCCTTTCTCTCCGTCTGCAATTCATTAGCTAGACTGTTCAAATCTGGAGCAGACACAGCATCGTTCACACTTCTGAGGTTACCCTTGCTGCTCCTGTCCTTCATACTTTCGTTTGTCAGGAAAAGCAATAACAGGGATTTAATGGAGTTTTGAACACTTTTGTTCAGGGCCCATAACCCTCCTGCTAGTTTCGTCTTTCATTGCACAAGGCTCTTGGAAATAGTTTCTAACGCAGACTGCCGTGCTCAACATCTGTCTGGCTGGGAAAGTGTTTCTTGGTGGACTGCTGTACTGCAATTTTGAAGACCTCTGAAGGAAATGGAAATGGGGCTTAATTCTCCATAGAGCTACCTGTAGACTTCTGTGTGGAAGGGAGTGAACCTGTGGGGAAGATATGCTAATAAATCGGCTAATGAGGGAAAACTGGAGAACACTTCCCCCTTCTCAGACAGCCAACGGCACTCCCCCATGCTTACATACAGCTCTTCTACGCAGAATATTAAAAAGGCCAGAAATATGCTTGATAGTAATGCTTGTCTGTTTGCTGCTATGCTTTGTAGCTCTGATAATAGACACAGATCAATGTCTGCAGATATCCAGCTCCCTGAATGATGAAATCTGTGTGGCAAAGAACGTGGCTGGATTTCTGATTTAACAGTTTACTCCTCACTGCTTGTGAGTCATGAAAGTGCAGCATGCAGAAGCGTGAAGCTTTCTTTTAAGTTGCCCCATGCCAAGTAAGACAAAGCTAATTCCTGGTCTCACTCTACTACTGCAACAGCAGAGTAGTTTCGTGTGGGGGATATTTTTTTTTTTCAACATACAGAAAGTGGGAGAGGGAAAAAAGCTCTGGCTGTGAGTCATGTGGGACCATCTACATCTCATTGCCTTGTTTGGTTGCTCTGAGACTGAAAGGCACCCAAACTACAGAGGACGACCCTTCCCACCCGGCAGTGACCCCTCAGGCAGATAATTTCTGAGCTGCCCTCCAGTTCCTCAGCCTCTTTAGTTCTGCATCTGCAGCAAGCTGGGAAATGAACAGTACTGATACCAGAGAACTTGTACTGGTCTGAAAATACTTGATGCAACTGCGTACATTCTTCATGGGGGAGAGGATTGCCCAAGTTGTATAGCTTAGAGCTACAAAGTGGTATGGGGTAGGCAGTACAGAACTATCCACCATTTACCCACTGGGCCTCCTTTTCTCTCTGCTTGAGCTCCCTAAGAGCCTATCTGCAAATCTGTCCCACAGTCTTTGGGTTATTAAATGCACCCTAGCACATATGTGAGACAGCTATGTAAAAATAAAATCCGTTTCCTGCATGTAAGAATGTGCTCTCAACTTCTATTTTTGCTTGAATTATGAAAAAAAAAGCAAAAGGGATGAGTGTATGTAACTATTGAAGACTACCAGGAGAGAGTAATGGTTTTCACCCAATTAAAAAGAAAGGAAGCGAGAATATCACATCTCTTGATATTCATAATAACAATAATAGCTTTCAGACGTATGCCATGATTCTGAGCTGAAGGTCAGTTAATTGCAGAGACTGTCTCTCCCCATTAATCAAAGACAGTGCAGAACTGGTAGAAGAAATGCACTGACATTAAACCTGGTCTACCCATATGCTTATGTGGCACCAGGAACAGAGAGTCCTGGGTTTGGGACCCACCATTGCTGTGCTGTCTTACAGCAATGCACAGGCAGCAATTTAGGTGGCAAAGTTTCTAATTTGGCATCACTTAATTGCTTAAACATACAATCTCAATTTGTTTAATATGTGAAACTGCATTTCACAGATGCTGCTGATGGGAGAGAGTCTGCTTCTGTGGAAATTGGGAGCAAAATTCCCGCTGACTTCAGCAAGTCCCAGCATTTCATCCTGTGCTTAAAAATATTCTTTGAGACATTCGTTTCTATGACAGAGCTTGTCTTCTAAAAAAAATCTTGTTACTACAATACTAACAGTGGGTCCCCAATGCAACGTTTCTGGCAAGGGTCATTTAACCTGGCTTTTATATTTAAATTATGAGGAACACAGCAGTAATCACCCTGCATTTAGAAAACTTCTGTCAAACTGGGTGATTTGTCAATTTGTCGTTAAGTGAAACTTGTGATGTACTGAACTGCACTTGCTATTATTGCTGAGCTTTGGTAGACATAAGGCATAGTACAATGCAGTTACTGTACTTGGTGAATTAAAAGCAGATACCATACTCAGTGAATTCTAGCTCTGTGTGGGAGTTATCAAAGAAGAGCAGGCTCAGTCAGCTTCACCCTAAAGGCTTGAGCTGGTCCAGTGAAGAACAAATTCAGACACCCTCCAGGTGTGAACAAATGAATATCAGCAGAGGTTTGGGGGGTTTAAACATGACAAAGAAATTAGTCCCCTTGTGCTCTGTATCTGGGCTGGGGTAAGGTCAAGAAAAGAGGGAGCGAATGAAAGGGAGGAGCACTGCCTGAATGAGGGCTCTTGGCTAAGGAAGAGCTGGACAGCCAGGATACTGAGCACGAGTGATGCCAACATGAAGCAGGCAGTGACTGGATGGAAGCTAATGAGCTGGAGAGACATAGTTATTGGCAAGTCTGAACTCGAACATTTTTCTAATACAGCTGCTCAGTCTGAAGACTCAGTAGATAAAATATTAAAAGCTACTCTAAATGACCCAAATTCTTCTCCTCTTCCTAAGGTTGAGATATTTCTTCCTGCTCTTCTTCCAGAGAGCTCTTGAATCTTTCTTGATATAGGTTACTCAAGAGGCTTTCAGAGGCAACATCGCCACTCAGATGAGCTGGTTTCCACACATCCAGATTTCCTAGACCCTGGAGCTAATTTTAAGTTGCCAACCCTCTCAAGAGCCACATGAGAGACGATGCTTCGCTCTGCCCCTCCCGGTGGTAACGCACCTGTACGCTGGAGTCCTGGACGAGGCAGAGTTGCTCCTGTATCTTCTGGAGCTCCTCCTGCTGCCACCGGATGTTGGCCTGCAGGATCCGGGTCCGCTGCTCTAGCTGGTCCTTGATGGTCTGGAACATGCTGAACTGTGCTGAGAACTGAAAAGAAAAAAAAAAAAAGGAAAAATCAGTTATTATAATGCAAACAGGCCTCAGCAGAACATTGTTCTGTAAGAAGATACTGGCTTCTTGATTGTAAAGCACAGCCAATGGAATAAAAATTGTGTGTGTAACATACTAACAACTAGGCAGAGATAAACCTTGTCTATTTTCAATTTTACACACATATATTAAATTGCCTCAGTTAGAGCGATCTGCTTACAACTGACCCTGTTCTCTTAGGGACTTATCAGAAGGGCTGTTTTTGAAAGCATACTACTTTGAAGTATCAAGGCCATCTTAATTGAATGGCAAATGAGTGCATTATTTTTATTAGCCTGTAGTTTGGAACCCTTAGCATGTCACACCTGTATACTCTGGATGTGTTTTACTAACACTTTTCCTTTTTCTACACAGCAACAGCAGTGCTGCAATGGTTTCTGCTGCTGCTGACTTACTATAACATCACACAACAGCTGACCACACTAAAAATTTTCTAGATTTCTACAGCTGAGCAGTAGTCAAGCTACAAGGAATAATCATTAAGCTATTTTTATACGTGGTGTAAAGTGAATGGCTCAGCTCAGTGGGAGGAAGGCTATTCTAAATAATAATATAAAATGGAAATCACTAATCCAAGTCAAAAAGAAAGCGCGACATCCAGTAGCAGCAATACTTAGCACAAAGTGGAAGAAGCATGTAGGAGACTAAGACAGCAATAAATTCTTAGTTTTGTTTGGTGTTCTTAGGTATGATTCAAAGTCCACTAGAGTTAATTATTATTTTAACAGGCTTTGGAATAGTCAGTCTGCATGAGCTCATGTTCCAAAAGTGAAGAACAGTCTGGAAAAAAAACAACAAACACTTCAAAAGATCTGTAAGCTTTTCTGTAATCAAGGTATCCAAGACTTCTCTGAAAATGTGTGGTTCTGTGAGTGTCCGGGCAGAAGAAAAATAATATTTTTTTCTGTGACTTGAAAATTGTGCCCTGTTGCTGTGGTTGTTCCAATGTTTCTGTGCTAGTGGGTCAACAGATGCATGCAGCTGGAGCCTTTGTCCTCCATGGAGGTGCACTTGCTTACACTATTTCTGGCTTTTTAATAGGAAAACAAAAATGACAACAAGAAGGGAATTAAAGAGAGCTCCAGTGCTAGCAACACTGTACAGTTAAATGAAATTTTTGGCTACTTAGAAACGTCTAAATGTGACAGGTCAGATTTCTGTCAGCTTTGACTTAGACCAGATAAGTATGTGGGATACCTCCACGTTCCCTCTAGCAAAGCTGAAATCTCCATGTAAATGGCTTTTAGGTGAGAACTTCAGAGGATTTATTTCTGTTTACCAGGTGGAGGGTGGCTTTCCCACATGATCTGGGAGGTTACTGGTTGAAGAGTGGTGGCGAGGTGGAGTTTTGTGCCCAACCCTGCTTAGAGGGCTGGAGGGCTGCTGAGGTGGCCAGTGCAGTTACTGCTGGCAGAGGCCCTCAGAGTCCACTTTGATGGCAAAGGCATCTGCAAATGCTCGTGGCTTGCACCATCTGCCCCAGGAGATAATGCGAGCACTTGGCCTCCAGCACTGTGACCCACAGCGCTTTTGCATCAGCGCTGACATCTGCAACCCAGTGCTCCCCCAGAGCAAAGGAACAATGTCAAAGCTCTGGAAGGGAAGTTTGTATTACTTCTAATTGGCGTTAAAGTGAGGGTTGTGTTACTTCTTAATTGGCATTAAAAGGGGAGTAGTCAGAACAGAGTATCTCTTTCTCTAGCCCGCGTCTAAAGCGTTAACTTGAGGAATGGATGAGTAGAAACCTCTGATGTTTGGGACTCCAAGGGGCATCCAGTGCTGCTTCTTGTAGCCAGACTCCATGTTTCTAAAGAGTCCCAGGTACCCTGATTTTAGGAATACCCTGATTTTACGACTTGCTTAGATGAGATACAGCTGAGTCCTGCTCTAACCTGGGTCTATACAAGATTTTTATTTTTTTAAAGCCAAATCTTGCAACCTAATTCTCTCTATATGAACTCTGTTAGTGAGGACTACTTGGGTCTTTAAAAAAGGTTTTTATCAGAGAGAAATTAAAAACAATTTTAGCCAAAAGCTTCATTTTAACTACTTAGCTTGCTGATGGCAGACTTTTCATTAACATGTGAACTCCTTGAAGACACTTTGGGAAAGGAACACAATTTTTCTTCAATTTAAAAACGTAAGGAGTAACAGATAATTTTTTAAACATTTTATACTTCAGTAAGAAGCAAAAACCATTTCCAGGACTTAGTTTTGACTTTGAATCTGCTTTGCAAAGTTGCACACAAAAGTACATTGCTGTTGATTTTAAATTATCATGTCTTAATTTTTTTCAGCATCTTCATATATTTAGCTTATTCATCTAGTATTGTCTTTCCGTTCTCCTTTTCATGTGCTTTTGGTGTCAATACACTTCACAACAACAATTACCTGGTCTACTAGAGTGAGACCCATTACTGAAGAAGACAAGGAACTTTCTCTTTTGCTTTCTTCCCTTAACCACTCTAACCCCTAAATTTCTTGATAACTCTAGCCATGACCCCTGTGCTTACAGAGCTTCTATTGTTTTTATACAATGAGACACTAACAGCAATTGACCTGCACCAGAGAGTATTTATCTCAAGATCATTAACCGCTCTCCTAATTAGGGGAGAAATCTGTAATTGTATAATAAATTAAAAGAGCTTAACTCAAAATGTTCCTCAGAAAACACTGCACAGCATTAACTCTGCCACTGGCATCAGACGAAGTTGCTCTTCGTCTCACTTAGGTTTTTACAAGCGTCCGCAGGGTCCTCAGAAAAGTACATGTTATACACAAAAAAATGACAGCTTTCCCAACACAGTCAAACATGAAAGACTAAAGACTGTGAGGTATCTATCATTGCACCAGTCTAATCAACATCTGTTAATGCAGACAGAAACAAACAGAGCAGTAATTTTAGTTTGGTTTCCTAAAAATAATAATAAAAAAAAGGTGATGCTTTTGGGATCATGACAACTGGCGTTTGGGTGGGGATGGGCACAATCCACTGGGCTCCATGCACCGGTGTTGATGGTCCAGATAGGCTGTAGAGCCTGGGGAGAGGAACTGGCCTCCTCCTCATCTGAGAGATGCCAGCTGGGCCATGCCCAAGTAGGGGCGTTTCTCTCTGCTGGGTGCCACCCCAGGGTGCCAGACATACTCCCTCTCTCTGGGTTTTGGAGGGCTGCAGCCCAGGGAGGGGAACTATAGCTCCTGTGTCTGTCAGGATGGACCCTCATTTCACATGTGATGGACCAAAAGCTGGACACCTCAAAGACATTCTGTTCCTACAAGCTTCATGACAACAAGGAGCTGGGTAAAGAAAAGAGACCCTATTTATTTTTTAGCAAAGTTTATTTTAAACCTTTCTTTTCTGCCTATCTTCCAACTTTCAATCCTTCTGCCCAACGTTAGACACATGCAAGAGAGTCGTGAGAGTCTCAAAACCACCAAGTTGCTGTCACTTCATGAAAGCTTAACTGAGCAAAGGAGAGAGGGATCCATTTCTCGCTTCCTTCTGCGGGAAAGGCTGAGTCTATGCGCCAGACGTGCAAGGCGCAGCCCCTGGGAAACAGGGTTTCATTAGTTTTGCCGCTCACCGAACAACTTGTTCGTTCTTTCTGTCTTCTGAGTAACACCTGCGCAATCCCAAACGGATTATTAGTGCTAATTATTATTCAGTCATCAGCATCCACTGTGTTGTAGGGGATTTTAATTTATTACAATGAGGAAGGCAAACAAACAAATATTCTAATAGGGAGCACTCGGTTTAAAGTAAACCATTTGTATTCAGGCAACATCTAGTCCTGTGCTGTCTGTTCATTCAGACGAGCAAGGCAGAAGCTGAAGCTGCATTTCGGCAGAGGCGAAACCATCGCAAGCCTTTTGCTTGAAATGAAAACTAATCAAAGTTCAAGCAGATGGTGCCTGAGGCAGGAACTAGCTGCTTGTTGCAGATGCAGTCGCAGCAGCTTAAAATGTCCTTCCCCCCCCGCTGCCGCCCTGTAGCCGAATGCTAGCTGCAAGGGCACCCGTCAGAGTGCCGGGGCCCTGGGTGGCCAGGCTTGGCTCAGCACCTTTCAGCTCCTGCCATCAGTCACCTTCAGCTGAGGGCGAGTGGCAGAAAGGCAGCGAGGAGCCACGTGCATACCTCCTCCTTGTGGGCTGGCAGCGAGACGCCTGGCCACGCTATTTCTAAAAGCGATGAGCTTGTGTTCTGCTGCTAAACTGCTGTGAAACAGTCAGCCAGGAAACCAACAAAATGTTCTTGGTGGGAAGCATGCGTGCCTGGGTTCCATCACTCATTGCTCAGAGTCACAGGCACCTTATCTTTTAAATAATGGGTTATCTTGCTGTAGGCTGGCATGTTTACTATTTTAACATGGAAGATGAGCAATAGTTTATGAAAATTGCCCAAGCCTGCAGAGAATTGCTACCTTTCCCAGGAGTATCGCTGTGGGATGGGAGCCTCAGCAACCTGAGCTGCAATGTCCTGGTGCTATTTCCCTGCTCCACATCAAGGGAAGCTTCATCTTGACCTTCACCAGGAGCATTGTTGTGACTTTGCTGCCAGGGGGGAAGGAGGCTGTCTGTCGAGATGGTCTCGAGTCAAGCCTCTTTCTTTCACCGAGATTTAGCCAGCCCAAAGAGGCTTAAGCAGTGGTCGTGTGACTGGACGGCTCTCCAATTTGGCAGAGAAGAAATGGAGCTGGTGTGCCAGTAAGAGCGTGCTACTGGAAAGGGGCAAGGCACTGAGAGTAAACGACACAAAGAGCTTTGGCGGAGAAGAAAGGGAGGCAGAAAAAAGTCAAACAAAACATGCACGGGTTTATAATAAATAAACTAAATTATGTTTGCAAGTGCATTAATGAATAACGCTGAGAAATATCTGTGAAAGAAAATGAATGCTCAGAGCAGATAATTGATATGCTGATTCTCCACTGCATGCTGGTATGGAGTTGTGAAAAGAATATTAAACATAAAAGACAAATGAGAATTTGTTCATCTAAAGCAGGGATTCTCAGGACTTCCTATGTTTTAGATGATACAGGAGGGAGCTCGGGGATCTTGTGACGGAGTGTAGGCTACCAGTAGTAGAAGCAGAAGAGGTCTATTTCTAAAATCAGTGGATGATGGGGTGTATAATCACAGCATGACTACAGGGGAGAAACAACGTTATGGAAGCATGGTACTCAAATTGTTTCTTCCAAATCCACTGCAAATGAAACACTGAGGTGTCTTTTCGGACCATCACCCACTTTTGAGATATGGGTTGATAGATTTCACTGGGGGCATTTGTCTCTAGCAGCATCCTCACCATTACTGGCATACTCACAAAATGTGTTTTCTTGAACTCATGTGTCCCTTACTGCTGGCTTATTCTGCATCAGCACAGATAAACAGGCATTTTTAGGAGGACTGGGTCTGTGTTAGTTTTTAGTTTTGGTTTTAATTCTTATTGTGACCTTGGTTTTGATAGGACCTGATTCTGTAGAGGCAAAGTTGAAAACACTTTTTCCATCCATTTTTTGTCTGAAATAGATGTGTGTGTGCACTTGAACCTACATGCATCTGGGCCTCTGCTCTAAATGCCTGTATGCAGTTACATGTTTAAACACTCAAGTGTTCTGATTACTGTCCCACGCTATTTTAAGTGTTTGAGAGCTGGTAAATTCGGAGATACTAGCTTCTAAGGAGAGAACCTAAAAGCTCCAGGAGACCTGGACTCCGTTAATTAAATTATTCACTACATTAAAGGAAAAAATATCAGGAGATAGGCAAGTGACCTGTTCCACTTTGAAACCCCCAACTAACCTGTGCCAGAGGTGCAGGCTGACTTTGCAGAGTTGCTTGAGGCAGCAGCTGCTGTGGGAGAAGCTCACATGGAGGCTGAGAAGGCAAAGACACCTAGGTTAAAAACAGAACAAAACTTCATTATAAGTTTGGCCTCTTTAAAATTTAGGTTTCCTCAAATGGCATGGCTTTTGTTTAAGTTGTTTTTATTTGCTAAGCTGCATATGTGGCACATGCTTTATCCCGCCTGCCTATTTTGATGACTCTTTGTAAAGTTACCTGAAGAGTAGTAGGCTGACTGAGTCTGTGCACGGATAAATCCTGCTGTGTGCTTGGTGTTCTTGGCAAGGGAGTGTTAGACTCTGCAATCAGCTTTGTTGGTGTAGCTGCAAGAAAAGGTATCGGTGAATTCTCACACGCTGGAAATCATCCCTGTTCGAAGTAGGAATTACAATGAGACCTAGCTAGAAATGATTACATCCTGGCTAAATTCCAGCGGGAGTCAAGGCTGTTCTTGTTGACTTCAACGGCAGTAAAATTAAACTGATAAGGAGGGCCTGGGCAAAGATAAAAGTAAATGAGACAGATTATGATTCTCTGCTCCAATGAATGAAGCAAAAGGACCCAAGAGCTGTTCTAAACCAGCTGGAACTCCCTTCAGATGGGCAGAACAACTGTAAATTTAGGTTAGCTCATTGGCTTTTCTTCCAGACCAGGGAGCAGAAAG